GTAATTTAAGATTTTCAAAAACTACCGTTCCCTACCGGTGCTTTGAGAATTGAGTAAAAGTCGTCATATCAGTGTGTTGGTGCAATAAAACCATAGTTGCAAAAAATTTTGTTTTAATCTAGTTCTATTCAAAGTATTTTTTAATTTAATAAAACGAGTAAACACGATTATGGCGAAGATTTTATAATTAGGGACATTTATAGGGAAAAAATGTTATAGGAAATATCATTTAAATCGGCAAATAATAGTCATTAAGTTGTTTGGAAATACCGGTGCCGTCAATAAGACCTACTGTTTTCTCTCGTAAAACATGAAGTCCTACAAAAAAAATATTACAAAACACATAAAAATTAAAAATTATCTAATAATAGAAAAACATTTTTACTAATAATAGCCACCACTATCACCATATCCCAGTCCACCCACCCTTTCGCACACATATAATCCATACTTACGATGAGAAAACAGGCGCCCAATAGGACGGCCTTTATGTTGACGTCCAGATCCATGGGGAACGTTACGCCAAAGTGGTCGGCGTCGGTGAACCATTCCCGTCCCAATCCGGACCACTGTTTCGTGATTTTTCCGACAGGGCTGTCGTCGTAGGCCGAGTAGATGGGAAAGTCGACGTCACCGCACGTCCACGAGGATAAACAAAACGGCGCCTACCGGTGCCCATAAAAAACAATTACCAAGTAGCAAATAGTCTAACTTACGTGTTTGATTAGTTTTTTTGCAATAAACTAATAAATCATAATACATGTAGTATATACGATAATTTTAAAAAGGTACTGTACTGAGTACAGTATGTTCACAGATAATTAGCTACTGGTGCTGGCTATTACAAATTTATTTATTAACATTATATTTGTTATTTGACTATGAACTAGGTCATAATAGTTTATGCAATTTGTTTAGATGTACTTATTTAAACGATTCATAATTAAATCAGCATGCTATATGAATACAAACTATAATTACCCTGATCATTAGCACACACTCTCCATTGGCGTCCTCGACGCGGAATTTCGGTAAACATAGACTCCATTCCTGGCGAATAGTGCCCAGTATTTCACCGCTAGGGGACAGTACATACAAGTGCTGCGGTCATTGCAACGCACATATTTGATAAAATATAATTAACCTAGATTAATTAACTTTATTACAGTAAAACACAAATAAATTGTCCAATTCTACTAATACAGAATAATACAGTGCACCATGGTAGATCTATGTGATCCATTATTTTGCGACCGACTGTACATACCTGTAGACAACACCAACAGCAGCAGCAGTCGCACCGTAAGGGCCGGTATAGGTGTATGACTTCCCGGCCATTATTATCCAGTATTTTCAAATCAAATGGTCTGATTGGTCCGCAACAGTGCCGCGTACAGCAGTCGGTATCTAATCGTAACATTATAATTGACGCACATAAATACCTAGATCAATTATGTCATATATTGATTATAGTACCTTCTTTGGCGTAGTAAATTTTTTGACCCAGGCTATTTTTGATCTCGTACTTATTGTTGGTTTCGCACCCACATAATGCTACACCAGTGGCGATATAAATATTATTTTAAACACGTTGCCAATTAATGTAACATGCTGCAATATTATATACCCTCGCATAATTCAATCTTCTGGTGCACCAGTATCTGGTCGATGGCTAACAAGTATTCCAGGCCCGGGGGACAGTCGGCTATAGGATTGGCTATCGGTGTGAATCTTTGCGGACCTTTATCCCGGCAAATATTATAATAAATGTAACTTGCTAGAAATTAATTTTTTATTACTTACCATGAACATGAACAAGTTGCTCGTTGTTATTATGGCCATGACTGTGTCGCACTGATAATTCATCAGGGTAACACCCATCAAATGTGTCACTTGATTATAATTTTACAATATTTATAAAAGTAGGTGCAAGTAATTTTGATTAATACAAAATAAATTTAATATACCATGGTGTGTGACTACGATGTGTATCTATCCATGTATGTTTACTATCCATGTTTTGTAATTTGATGTTGTCAATTTTATAATATACTTATATAGCAAGGTGGCTAATATTAAAAATAGCTCTGGTAATTATGTGCTTACTAACTGTCATTAGATTTCAAGCAATTAGTATTCTATCATATTGAATAGAAATAGGTGCTAGCACATTCTGCTTAATTTATAGCTATTTAAATTACGTATCTAAAATATAACACAGATTATCAAATCAAGCTAAAAATAAAACATAATTACAAACACATTGCATTCAATACTGCAATACCAGTGTATTTATAGCCATTGAATAAAAAAGGGGTTTAAAAGTGAAGGCTAAATGTCTTGGCATTATGTCTATGTTGACTCCCTGTGCGCATTGGCACACATACTCTACATAGTTATGCAATATTATGCAGTTCACTGCCATAGTGACTGACCCAACACACAGTGGGCACAGGGATGTCATTTGCGCATATTATGTCATACATACCTTACTCAAACACATAATTTTATGCCTAAACTTTAAAACATTTGTATTAAATACTGCAATATCAGTGTATTTATAGCCATTGAATAAGAAAGGGTTTTAAAAGTGATGACTAAATTCTTTGATTAAGGTATGTATGGTATGGTATGCGCAATGACATCCCTGTACCCACTATGTGCCCAGTGCCCAGTTGGGTCAGTCACTGTGACAGTGAACTGCACAATATTGCATAACTATGTAGAGTATGTGTGCCAATGCGCACAGGGAGTCAACATAGACATAATGCCAAGACATTTAGCCTTCACTTTTAAAACCCTTTCTTATTCAATGGCTATAAATACACTGATATTGCAGTATTGAATGCAATGTGTTTGTAATTGTTTTATTTTAAGCTTGATTTGATAATCTGTGTTATATTTTAGATACGTAATTCAAATAGCTATAAATTAAACAGAATGTACTAGCACCTATTTCTATTCTATATGATAGAATACTAATTGCTTGAAATCTAATGACAGTTAGTAAGCACATAATTACCAGAAGTATTTTTAATATTAGCCACCTTGCTAAATAGATATATTATAAAATTGACAACATCAAATTACAAAACATGGATAGTAAACATATATGGATAGATACACATCGTAGTCACACACCATGGTATATTAAATTTATTTTGTATTAATCAAAATTACTTGCATCTACTTTTTTCAATATTGTAAAATTATAATCAAGTGACACATTTGATGGGTGTTACCCTGATGAATTATCAGTGCGACACAGTCATGGCCATAATAACAACGGGCAACTTGTTCATGTTCATGGTAAGTAATAAAAAAAATTAATTTCTAACAAGTTACATTAATTATAATGTTTTACGGGATAAAGGTCCGCAACGTCTTGCACCGATAGCCAGCCCTGATAGCGATAGTCCCATAGCCGACTGTCCCCCGGGCCTGGAATACCTGTTAACCATCGACCAGATACTGGTGCACCAAAAGATTGAACTACTCGAGAGTAAATCATATTGCACCATGGTGCATTAATTGACAACATGTTTAAAATTATATGTAATATATTGCCACTGGTGTAGTATTATGTGGGTGCGAAACCAACAATAAGTACGAGATCAAAAATAGCCTGGGTCAAAAGATTTACTATGCCAAAGAGGGTGCTATCATTTAATATATATATGCCATAATTGATCTAGGTGTTTATGGCTTCTCATTTACATTGCTACGATTAGATACCGACTGCTGTACGCGCCAATTGTGTGGACCAATCAGACCGTTTGATTTGAAAATACTGGACAATAATCGCCGGGAAGTCATACACCTATACCGGCCCTTACGGTGCGACGGCTGTTGTTGTTGGTGTTGTCTACAGGTATGTACAGTCGGTCGCAAAATAATGGGTCACATACATCTCCCACCAGGTGCACTGTATTAGTAACATAGAATTGGACAATTTATTTACGGGATACAGTAATGTAGTTAATTAATCTGGGTTAATTGTATTTTATTATCAAATATGACATAACCGCAGCGCCTGGATGTACTGTCCCCTTGGGGTGAAATACTGGGCACTATTCGCCAGGAATGGAGTCCATGTTTACCGAAATTCCGCGTCGAGGACGCCAATGGAGAGTGTGTGCTAATGATCAGGGTAATTATAGTTGTTATTCATATACTATGCTAATTTAATTATGAATCGCTTATTACAGCGAAATAGATTTCATACACAATTTTGACCTAGTTCAAAATTAAAATAACAAATACAATGCTAAGAAATACAAATTTGTAATACCCAGAGCGCCAGTAGCTAAATATCTGTTAACGTACTGTATCATTGTTAAAATTGTCGCATATATAAGTTCTAGTCTATTGAAACAGCAAACTAATCACATACGTGTCAGCTTATTTTTTACTCGGTACCTTTTTTATCGGCACCGGTAGGGGCCGTTTTGTGAGTGCTCGTGGAGGTGCGATGACGTCGACTTTCCCATCTACTCGGCCTACGACGACAGCCCTGTCGGCAAAATCACGAAACAGTGGTCCGGATTGGAGCGGGAGTTGTTCACCGACGCCGACCACTTCGGCATAACGTTCCCCGTGGATCTGGACGTCCACATAAAGGCCGTCCTATTGGGCGCCTGTTTTCTCATCGTAAGTATGGCGTAGAGTCCGTGTCGTAAACTATTGGCAGTGATATATTGTATGGGAAAGGTTAGGTGGGCTGGGATATGGCTATTATTAAAAATTGTTGCTATTATTAAATAATTTTTAATTTCTATGTTTTTTGTATTATTTTTTTTGTAGGACTTCATGTTTTACGAGAGCCAACCAACAGAGCAAGACAGCCAACCAGAGAACGAGAACGAGAACGAACTGTCCTCCTGGTGTTTTGAATGAACGACACCGGTATTCCCAAACAACTTACTATTAATAACTATTGTCTGTCACTTTTAATAATAATATTCCGTTTATACCTATAAATGTCACTAAATATATATTTTATGTATAAATTCATTGCTTAAAAGTGTTTTAAAATGTAGCTATAGTTAATAGATAAAAGTTTAGATATTTAAAAAATATTTTTTATGTGTGAATATAATTGTGTTAAAATGAGCTTAAAAATAATTTTATTGTCGTAAACACAACATGAGAATTTATAATTAAAATTTAATTTTTATACCTTATTTTAAAAACATAATAAACAAAAATTATTTTAAATAAATTGTTAAAATTTTAGACAATTTTGGTTTCAATATAAAACATAAAACAGTAATTTATTGTCAAGTTTT